ATATCTGGGACTCTCCACCATTTGACCTTAGAACTGAAGAAGCTTCTCGGATGAGAGGTGAAACGTCTTCAAGCAACTTAAAGAAGTCCAGACGCTTTTCGTTGCAAGCTCCTTTGACTACGATGACCTGGATGACTGAGAACCTTCACAGACCGATAGATAGATAGATTTCTATCCATCTATCCATCCATTCTAAGAAAACAAAGATTCAGCACTTGTTAGGCAATGTTCTGGTGGTGTATTCTAGTTGTTTATATTAGTTATTTGCCTACTAATTTGCTATCTAATTACTAACTTATACTAATTATGATATAATGTTATTAGATTGAACCACTCTAGGACCACAACTAGTATCAAACTACTCTCATGAGGACTGGTTCTCACACAGACTAAGAACGTAGTGTAAATGGGTGATAAATGAAAGGAAAAACCAGCATAAAGTTTCCTAGGAAGGTGTTGGATTACCACATATTGAACAGAACAGCTTTAATATTCTTTGGCATTGATTTCCCAAGAGACTAAAGTCTGGAGGGATGAAACACCACACGTTCACAACATAATCCCTCATTTGGTGTTTTAATAATAATGCTTGTGAGCACTGTCAAACACTAAAATGTGCTGTTGGTGTTGAGCTAGGTCGCAGTGTACAGACCGCGAAGCCATTATTTCCATATATATATATCAAACCACTCTGACCTCAGTTGTCCTATGGATGCTGACACTCCCATGAAGACTGAAATGTTTTATCACTACACTGTGATCAACAACTTTGTATTGATTTGAACTGGGTTGTCCCTCGAAGGGGACGAGTGTACTAAGGAGAACATACATGGGTGCATAAGGACTGCTGAGTCAAACAAACTTTTGTGGGGTAACATGTATGTAGGTTTCGGGGCGATTGTGACTCAAGAGTTGGCAAATCGTCTTGTAATCGGAAGGTTGCCGGTTTGAGCCCCGGCTCTGACAGTCTGGGTCGGTGTGTCCTTGGGCAAGACACTTCACCTACCGCCTACTGGTGGTGGTCAGAGGGTGGTGCCAGTGTCTCGCCTCTGTCAGTGCGCTCCAGGGCAGCTGTGGCTACAATGTAGCTTGCCATCACCTGTGTGTGAATGGGTGGATGACTGAATGTAGTGTAAAGCGCTATACAAATACAGGCCATTTCCTGTTTAGATTCGTTTTTTTTGTGGTGTTTACAGCAAGTTCCAGAGATTTTAATCTTTACACTTTCTCACTATTTCTTTCTCTCTCTTATCAGGATCTAACCCGTGAGCAGGCTCGTTCTGAGAAACTGGCCACTGAAGTGGAACACCTGAGCCAGAAACTACAGCGATCCGAAGCCGAGCGGCAGTCGGCAAAAGATTCTCTCCACCAGTCTCAGGAGAGAATAGAGTCTCTCTCCCAGCTCCTAAAGAAAAGTGAATCTCTGCAGTTAGAGACGAGGAGGGAAAGTGCAGAAGTGAAGAGTGCGCCTAATTCAAATTCAGAATCGACAGACAAGCAAGACATGTCACCTTTGGATCAAAGCCCCGAGGCTGCCAAAGGTTGTGATCTTTCCGCGACCCGCGATCGTTTCCCGGGGGAGGCAGAGAGGCATCTCAGTGAGAGGGTGATCGAGCTGGAAAAAGAGGTCTGTATTTGGATGTGTGAGTGGGTGTTTGGGAGTTGGTGTGGGGGCTCGGTCTTCCCTGTGAGGGAGATGATGTATATTATGTTAAAACTCTTACTCTAGGGATTCTCGAGGACTATCAGCTCACAGTGGGCCACTTCCCAGAGTGCAGCACTTTATTTCCAAAACTAGAGCTTTATCTCTGCTCATCGGTTTTAAAATGTCACCCCGGCTACTGTTAATCTTCCTTATCTCCTCTGCTGCTTTTCTGCTTAAGCTCTTACTGTCTCTCTCTCACACTCACACATACTCTCTAACATCAAGCTGTGAGGGGCGCTTCCAGCATTGCCAAGGTCACAAATTTCACCTGGTGTGGCTCTCACTCAGAACGTTATTACGTCAGTGCTTTCAGGTTTTGTACACTAGATTAGTCTAGATGAACTAAGGCACAAACAGATCCGGGCTACATCCTGGATCCACTTACCCTTATTAATGCACAAACAACGATTGCGGATGAAGACATCTTCACATCTAAAAATGCAAGAATGCTCTACTTAAGAAAATAGAATTAATAGCTGCACTGTCCTAAAATATTAAAAGTGGAATTTATGCAGGAAAATGGCTCCTGTGTGTGATATAGTGTGCAGGATTGTTAATACTAAAGCTAAAGTAGCATTTTAATGTTCACTCCTTACTGGCTGTAGCTGCTGGAGGTGGGAGCTCATTTTCACCTGTTCGTACACGCTTGGTCATAACTGAGTAGGCACCCCCTCGAGTGTCAAACAATAAAACTGGGTAGACCTGTCATCATGGGAGAAGAAACAAAAAAGAATTACCTCCTTCTAAGCTTTTTTCTTTTTTGCTTTTCTTGAAATATTAGGGTTAAATCTCACCTTTCTGGCCCCCTGGGTTTCTTATAAATGAAACCATATGAGAAGCTGAGATGAGAAATCACTCTTTGGTGAAGCATGACACCAAGTTTTATCATAAAGCATCTCGAGCTAGAATCATTGGTTTTTGTATTTCACAAACTGATGCAATAGCAATATTAACCCTTAAGAGCCCAGACCTATTTCTACTTTCATGAAAATTACGGGGGTCTTATATCAAATGAATCATATATAACCAAGTCTCTAAGTGTAAAGAGGCAGTGACACCAGTGTCACTGTGGGTCCTTAAGGGTTAAGATCAACTGTAATCTGAAGCAAAGAAGCGAGACCCAACAAGTCTTTATTGGGGTACACAAGTTGCAGAAGTGAGGAGGATGAGGTGGAGCAAAATCATGGAAGAGCTGTGCTGGCAGAGGATGAATGAATATGGCGAGCATGGCAGTTAGAGCAGATGGGCAGGTGAGGGTGGCTGTAGCTGTAGAATGAAAGCTGGCCCAAGCTGAATGGTGAGAAGTTGGTAAACAAACACGGGGAACAAAAGCTAAACTGAAGATGAAGGCCTGACGTAATTACCACAATAGCTCTGTGGTGGAGTTGGCCTGAAGTGCAGGTTGATGAGTAAATGAACCACCAATCTGCACACTGATTGGGAGAACGGGAGATAACAATCCATGTCTGGCACACGCAAATAGAATCAGGACAAACAGGCAAGGAAAACAAACAGGAAATAAGACGCGTGTGAGCTGCAGTTCTCTGGGAGAAAATACCTTGCTGCTGCCAGAGGTCAGAGGAGAACAGCCAGACTGCTTCTAGCTGATAGGAAGCCAGCCGTGACACAAATAATCAAATGTTACAACCAAGGTATGCAGAAAAGCATCGCTGAAGGCGCAACCTTAAAGCAGATGGGTTACAGCAGCACAAGACCACACGGCGTGCCGCTCCTGTCATCTAAGAACAGGAAACAGAGGCAGCAGTTCACACAGGCCCGCCAAAATTTGATGATAGAAATGAGAAAAATGCTGTTTCATCTGATGAGTGTCAGATTTGTTCTCCAACATTTGGAAGGTAGGGTTCGAATTAGGCTAAAATGAAATGAAAGCATCGATCCATCCTTCCTTGTGTTCAGGCTGGATGTGATGTGAGAGGGTATTTTGTTGCCAGAATTTGAACTTGTTAGTACTCCTATCTGAGTATTATTGCTGACCATGTCCATTCCTTCATCATGATAGTGCACTCATCTCCTCATGGCTGTTTCCAGGAGCATAACGGACCGTGTCACAAAGCTCAGATCATCTCAAACTGGTTTCTTGAACATGACTGAGTTCATTGTACTGTAACCATATCTCAATCCAGCAGAGAACCTTTTGGTAGAATTAGCGAAATCTGCAGCAACCGTGTGTAAGTGTATCATGCGAGTTTGGGCCAAAATCTAATAGAAATATTTCCAGCACCTTGTTTAATCCGTACAATGAAGAATTAAGGAAGCAGTGAAGGCAAAAAGGGGTCTAAGTCAGTGCTAACAAGGTGTACCTAATAAAGTGACCAGTGAGTGCAGTTATTTTGTGCCACTGACATCAAAGGGAGAGAGCTAGGATGATGAAGTAGGAGAAGAATCTAAAAGTGACTGTAATAAAAAGTAGAAATCCCCTGTGTAGCACTATGAGTCAGTCAGCAGTACATGAAAACTCCACAGTGGGGGAAAAAATAACAACCCCACACCAAAACTGAGCTCTAGACTCTCTAGACGATGCACACATGAAATGTGTTGTCGCTCTTCCAGTACTTGCAAATAAAATGTTCAAATAAAATCGCAGCGTAGGGGGAGTACAGCTGACTTGTTGTTTGCAGCAAGTTAATTTTAATTTTGGGAAATACACCAGATTTTACACCCTCAGCAATTTATAAGGTGGTTTTCTTTTCATTTCTAAACTACCCGCCTCTGTGCCAAATCAACACATTTATTTATCAGAGCAGATTGCACCAAATCATGTGTCGTCAATAAAGTCGCAGATTTTCTGATTGGACCATTAAAGCCTGTGGAAAGATTGCACTGACAGAAATCTCGCGTAAACAACAGATGTGAACTAATGAAATCTAATTTGTAACATTTATGTCAGACACAGGAGGAATTTCATCTCTGTGTTTATAGAGTGACACAAATGTCGCATAAAGATGCTACCTGACTGAGAGCACTTTAAAAGGTCAGCGGCAGAGTCTGACCATGTTCAAATATTATGGATGTTTCCGGAGCCAAATGTAGCACAGACATTATAAAAATGAAAGAAGAGATTTTTTTCTCCCCCTCAGAAAGCAGTGGCGGCTGCAGAGCATGAGGCTTTGCTGACGAGATTGTCTCAGTCCCAGGAGGCTTGTAAGCACCTCGAGGAGCAGCTGGAGGCTCTGCGTCGGAACTCCCTCAGCCTGCAGGACTCCTGCACCAGACTGCAGACGCTCAACACACAACTACAGGTGACCTAACACACAGACACAGAGCGTGGTTATGGCTGAAGTTGATTTGTTCAAAATCGCACATCGTTTTTAAACCTTTTGTCTTCCTAAAGTGAAACGCATTCAGTCTTTGTGCAATGAATTTTGACGTAAAGTGCGCAGGGACCTGTTACATTATTGGACATTATTTCATATTTGTATTTGCTCTAATGTGGGGAGTAGGATGACAGGCTCAGTGCCAGTGTCATAGCATAGCACTGGCTAAAGAGCAGAAAACTAGAAGAAACAGCCCATCTGGCCCTGTCCAAAGGACAAAAACTACCTACCAGGTTTTTTAAAGCTTACTAAGTATTCTGCTGTAACCTATTTGATTATCTCCCTCACTTAAATATTCTTGTATCAAAGGGTTACT